TAGATAGATATATTCAATCAAAATATTAATATATATAATTTACATAAATAAAGTATTAAACTCAACAGTGAATTTTTCAAAACATTCATTGAAAGATAATGTTCTTGAAATTAGGATTTTAATTTTTTATGAAAGTTGGGATTGATGCGCAAAAGACAACTTCAAATTGTATTGTTCTGATATACTATTATTAAAAAATATTAAAGTAACATATTTTTAAAATAAAAATTAGACTATATTAGTCTTTTTCTTTATTAATTTATTGAAATAATATAATTTTTATTTTTATTTTCTCCTCATATTTTAGAAGTGCAGTTGATAAATACTAATATCAAATTATATTTCAAGGAAAAGTGTTTAGCAAGTTGTTCTTTTGAATTATTTTTGAATGATATGTTTAAAAACTCATTCTCTAATTAATATTTTAAAAAAGTAATCATTTGATTAAAAATTCTTTTTATATAAATTATGTATACCAAATTTTAAATTATTATAATAGGCTTAACTTCTTCATTAATTATAAAAAATTTAATACTATTAAATATATATTAGTAAATATAATTTTTTTAATAAAAAAATTATAAGTGTTAAAATAATATAAAAATTGACATATTTAATTTATATAAATAAAATTTTTAATTTAACAATTGATTTTTTAAAATATTAATTAAAATAAGTTTTTAAACAAATTTTCCAACAAAGTTTTAAAGAAAGATGTGTCCTATATTATTCTCTATATTATATTATAGAATATAATTTTTACTCTCTCTTTTCCTTTTTTTTTTGTCTTGAAAATTTTAGAAGTTGATTTGATTTATAAAACTCAAAAGTCTACTGATAATGCTTTTTACTGTAAAAGTCAATTCTAATTAATTTTCGATATTTAAAAACTGAAATTAACTTCTTAAAAATGTAGCAGGACTTTTAAATTTTAAGAAGTCATTTTAGCGATTAAACCAAGCCGGGAAATTAAAAATTAAGAGGTATGGTTTCTTATTTTGTAAAACTGATTATGACATGAAGTACTGCCTATGTGTGTGTATATATATATATATATGGAGGTATTAACTTCTAGTATTTAAAAGTTACATTGAATATGATTATTTCATAATTAAGTTGCATTGAACCATATAAGAAAAAGCTTTTCCAGGTTTATTTTTTTATTTACAAGAATTAAACTCGAAACTTGATTCAAAAGAATTAAGATTTTTTCACTTAAACTAACAAGTTATTGGTAGAATACTTCCTATATATATGACCATGTTTACATAGTCATCAAAAAAGGAAAATCAAAATCTCTTAGTATTAAAAAAAGTTAGAGGTATGTCTCAATAATTTAAATAATTTAGTAATAATTTTTTTAAATAAAATGATTTAACAAATAAAATATAGGTATCACTGGTCATACAACTCAAAATCAAATAAAAGAGTAAAAATTAAGTATGTCCACATGTTTCATGGATACAAGAAGTTCGAAACATTTTTAATGTTAGTACTTCTCATTTTCTTTTAGATTTTGCCCCCACTCTAGACATCCCTTGACTCCTGTCTCTTCCGTTTATTTAATCCGGAAAGCTCTTCTTAGATTCTAACTGGTCTTGAACACCCGTTTTACAACTTCAACAAGCAATCTTCTTGAATCATGACAAAGCTAGCTTCTATATTTTTGTTAAATAAATACTTAATTTCTTTTTGTATTTATTATATACATGATCACCAAATTTTTGTGTTTAATTAATTTGCTTCTCATCTATTGATTGAGTTCATCAAGAAATCAAGGTTGAATCCATGCCTTACTTTCAGGGGATGTCAGCAAAAGGAAGTTGCAATGTATCAGTTGCTATACAAAAAGCTCGCGAAAGTTTAGAGCAGAACCTGACTTTACCGGATACAACGCCAAGGAAGAAAATCCTCAGAGTACCTCCCCAACCACTCGAGGTAAATAAAAAAGCCTATGAACCTTATGTCATTTCTATCGGTCCATACCATCGGGGTAAAGACCAATTGAAGAAAATGGAAGGAAAAAAGGTGCAATATTTAAATGGGCTTCTTCAAAGTACAGGACAAAGTGTTGAAATATATCTATCAGCAATAGGAAAGGTGGTGGTAGAAGCTCAAAATTGTTATTCAGAATCTTTAGCTCTTCCATTGAAAGAATTTATAGAAATGATGGTCCTTGATGGATGTTTTGTTATTCAGCTAGTCATGGGAACCTTGGGGGATTCGTTTCAGCGCGATGGTTGGATCTATGAAAGCATTTTGCGTGATTTGGTTCTAGTTGAGAATCAACTACCCTTTTTTGTACTACGTCAGTTACTAGACGAAATCCCAATAACGTTCTTCAAATTGGAGCCGTCTACGGATCTAAAAAGCCAGTTTATCTGTAAGTTAATTGAATTGTATAAACCTAGCATGCCAGGGCTCAAGTTTAACAGAAACCCCGACTACTATTCCTCGGAAAATGTCATGCACATAGTACATTTATTGCACTCCAATTGGCGTCCTTCAGACGAGGCAATGGATAAATACAAAGAGGTGCACGAAAAAGATGGGAAGTGGGATCCTATATGTTCTGCTGCAGAACTAAAAGAGGCAGGAATTGAGTTCAAAGTCGTTGGGACAGAAGGGAGGAGCTTATTTGATATCAATTTTGAAAAAGGTAGATTAGAGATGACAAAATTGACTATTGACGATGATACGGAGAGTTTGTATCGTAACCTCATTGCCTGTGAACAGTTTGACTATACGTATCCAGCATTTTTGACTGAATATGTTGTACTCATGGATTCCCTAATCAACTCAGCGAAGGATGTGGAGATACTTTGTAAGAGTGGGATAATTGATAATTGGTTAGGCGATAATGAATCAGCTGCTGTATTGTTCAACAGGCTCAGTGGTCATGCTAATTTCTACAAAGAAGAATTCTTTTATGCCCAGTTATTTAAGGATGTCAACAAGCATTACAAAACACGCTGGAAGACATGGAAGGCAAACTTATGCCACAAGTACTTCAGCAATCCGTGGTCTATTATCTCCTTTCTTGCCGCAGCTTTGTTGATTCTGCTTACAATGCTACAAACTACATTCACAATCTTCCCTCGGTCTTGAAATTTGAAAGTGCAAGAGACCCAAGATCAAATGGTATGACCAAAATGTATGAGAAATACAAGTTTTACATAGACCGGTAGCTGGAAAGGGTTTGCCACGTTCTGTTTTCCGTAATTACCCTAGTGTATTGTATTGTGTTGTATGTTGCTTTTTAAGGTGGTTTTACTATTGTTACCGTCTTTTCTTTAGGTTTGTTTTGTTGGGTTCCTTTAAGTTTGTAAGTTGTAAGAGCCCTGTTAAAGATTGTTGCTGCCTAGATTTGTTTCAAATTTGCAGTATGGTGTTTCATTGTCTTTCAAAAAAGGTATTAGATTTTGAACATCGGGTTCTGCATATTAACAGTGATTATTCAGTTGTTCTTGTGAAATTATAGTTATTTTGTTCTTATAAGCTTTCTTGTTTTGTTCTTAACCTTAAGTTCAATTTGCTAATGACTAGACAAATTGAACCTAAAAATCTTGCATGATGTTGATCGATAAAATATTTAACAAAGAACCTTATTAGTAGGAAAGAAGGATCACTGATGGAATAACCAGTCAAATTGTTGCTGATAATAGTGTGTCAACTGTCAGCCAGAGTTCCCCCAGACACTTCAGTACGTAGGACATGGAATGAATGAGCGCCATTGAAGTGGTAGGGGGGAGCTACTGGGTATAGACCCTCCTTTGATTTCTCTTTATATCTATTTTCAGCTGGATTCCGTATCTCTTTTATAGTTTTTGCTTAAATATTAAGACAAAAAACAGTGCATAAAAAAAAAAAAAAGACAAAAAACAAATTCAAAAGTTTTTTAAATGAGTTAACTAACCCATTGGGCCAAAAGAAAATTATCACCCATTACAGACCATATTGACTCTCAAGCCCAACACATTTTTAATTAAATAAGCAGTGATATGGGCTTCTTGTTATTGGAATATTAATGATTTATGTTTCTGTTTAACCTTAGTAAATTTAAATATTTAAATATAATTATTTTTTAAGATACTATTTAATATGTTTAATTTAATTTTAATTTTATTTAAAAAAGGTAATTACAATAAATATTAAATAAGATTGTCTTATTTAAGCAATAATTAATTACAAATAAACATAACTATTAAAGTTGAACCGAGGGAGTAACATATTCTTCCTAGGTGTTGTAGACGATTAAATGGGTAATTTCTTCTAATACAAATTATTTTATGAATAAAAAAATTGCTGCTTAGTTTGATTTTAACAATTATTTACATTTAGAAAGTGATTTCAATAGTTTAGACTCTGACTAATATAGTTTAGTTTTGAGTTTTTAGTTTTACTTTTTAAAATTTTAGAAATTTTAAAATAAAAGTAATAAATTCTATAAATTAATTAAATTTGAAGTTTTGAGTATTTGTTTTAAAATTTTATACTCAATAGTTTAATATTTTTAATTTTATTTTTTAATTTTGATTTTCAATTATTAATCTTGATTACTAGAATTTTAAAAATCAAAATAAAAATTTAAAAATTACAACTATACTAAGTTTAATTATCAAAGTTATTTTTAAGTAAAATATTTGTAGAAAGGTCATTGCAAATTAAGGCCTTGCTTGGTACACAATCTCTCCATAAAATAGAATCTAGGGTAAATTGACAGTAAATTGATGTTTTATGGCGTTTTAGGTTAGATTTGGGTTAATTTATTCCAATCAAAAAGTATATGAGTTAATTTATTTTGATATATAAGTGACGAAGTTCAAATATTGCAGAAAAAAGTTACGAGGTTAATCTCAACAATATCGAAAAGTACATGGGTTAAAATACTCTTTTCGCCTATATATATATATTAATTTAACATATTACATAATATATTTATTAAAAAATTATTATTAATTTATTTAATATTAAAAACAGATAAATTTAAAGATGTAATTATGCATATAAGATACAGAAATTAATTGAATTGAATGTAAATATATTATATTTTAGTGATTGAACTAGATAAATATTAAAAAATATGTTAAATTAAATATATACCAATAATTTTCCTGTCTGATATTACAACTAACCAATATATTTTATGCAAAAGCGTATCTAGGCATGAATGTGTGTACAGATGAGTCTCCTTTAATATCCAAAGGTATTACTCACGCTGCACACCAAAAACGTTAACAAAAGGAATGTCAAATAAAAAAGCGCCAACATAAAAAATTTATTTTATTAAATATTAATATTTAAATTTAAAAATTAATTATGTATTTTAATATAATTGATTTTCAAATTTATATATTAACATTTAAAAAGGTAAAGTTTTAAAATTTGAATTGATTCCAAATATAGAAATTAACATTTAATAAGATAAATTTTTAAATTTTAAATTAGATTTTAATTAAATAAAACAATGCTATTTAAGGTGGGGACTCTAACTGTTTTTTAGAAATCAGAATTGATACGCACTATTCCTATATATCTATATATATATGAGGAAAGATTCATTTACATATAAGTTTTACAGAGTACATTTATATAAAATATTGATAATTCATTTATCTACTTTTAATGGTT